TCTTTTTTTGCAAGAACTATGTCACTTGCCAATGAAAAAACTGAATTTTTCTATTCACAAAAACGCTTTCTTAGAGCTTTGAAACACATTTTATGCGTAATTGACTTTGTAAGCATCTAGTTATGCTAGTTAATATGTATGTATTACCTCTCTGAGATTTAATTTACTTGTTAATTATGTTACCTTTACCTATTTAACTCTTAAGAACATATTAATTTATTAACGAATTGTTAAGTTTATGTAAAAAAAAATGGGCTTTGTCCGTCAATAAATAAAATAAATAAAAATAAATAAATATTCAATGAGACATTTTCAATTTTCCTAATTATTATCACTATAACTGAGAAAATACATCATGGGCAAGAAGATACGCGAGAGAAAAAGCTCAGTCAAGGACTTGGGAATATATTTGGATTCTGAAATCAGTTTTAGAGATCACTTCATGTACCGAGAGAGTAAAGCTCAACAGATGTTAGGACTCATTTTCAGGATTGGTAATGATCTGTCAATGAATCCAGTTCGTTTATTATTGTACTCTGGATAGATCTCATTTGGAATGCTGTCTAGTTGAGTTGAGGGATTCCAAAAGAAGTTTATAAAATATTGGGCCTACAAGCTTTATATTATATAAATTGGAAGATGTTCAACGGCAACGGTTTTTATTTTGAATATACAGGGTGGCCCATCGAAAACAGTCCAGCAAGGTTTTGGGCTTTGTATGTGAAAATTTAAAAAAATCCTCGGACCCGTATAATTTTGTTTTCAGGGGGACATATTTACACATTGATTACATCACAGTTACTTCAACCCCTTAGCGGGGGTGGCATTCATCTTAAACTAATTGACGCCACTTTCTGAAATAACACTAAGATCCTTTGGAATTTCTAAAACTAAAAATTCCTAGCAAATTTATTGCACCTGAAATAATAGGTATTGTGGAAAGATTCTATTAAAGTGAACAACAATGAGTATTCTGCCCTATTACTAATCCTGATCTTAAGTGGTGTCACTGCATAGGCAAAATTTAAGATTCTCACTTAGAGAACATCAATATGTTGAATTAAATACATGTAAAGATGTAAATATACTTTCAACCAGTAATGAGACTGTAATGGAAACAATCGTCCGCTAAAACGACACAATCAGGTGAATTTTATCAAAGCATGGAGGTATGTCCCTTTTACCGTGAGATTTTTGTCACGTCATCTTTAGACCTAGAAGAGTGCTGATCTGGGTTCTGATCCTGCAGGGGATTTCAAAGTTTTATCCGTGATGCTGATTCCAACTGAGAAATGGTGCAATTCAAGTCAGGAATTAGTTCCTAGTCTTGAACTCAAATCAGCTATTGCTATTACCGAAATTTATTGGTCCTTATTATTTTGGAAAAACTACCAACGGGTTTGACATGAGTTTCTGTTTAATGCAAACTAGATTTGCTGTACAAATTAAGTAATGTTAATTGTACTTCTGAATCTGCTCATAACAGATTCGCTCGTATATATAAAGCCAGCATTAATCAGTTGTGTTATTGTTAAATATTTAAATATTCAATATTAATATGATGTACTGTTTACCATAGTTGAGTCGAAATAGAAGCCCTATTGGCACATTTTCTTATACTGCGTTTAGGTAAATTGTAAATTAGGTGTAGGATTTTATCTTTAGCAGCTGCGTTCATTAATGATTCTCATTCTCATCCAATTTACCTCTAAATATCTATCTTTATATAGTTTATCCTTATTTCATTTTAGAGCAAATCCTTTACATTGCATCCTGTATTGAGAAGCGCAGAAGACATAAAGTCCATCCTAGCGGATAATAGAATTTACTCTTGAACCAGATTTGTTCAAATATCTCTCTTTTCTTCAGTTGACTCAGTTTCTTTTTATTTCATTTTAGAATAAATCCTTCACAAGCGAAGGACGTTTTTTATGTGAATGGAGTCCATCCCAATAAATGGTAAAATTTCCTGGTCGACCCAGTTTTTTCGTAATTAAGTTTCTCAATTACCTAATTCTGTTTCTTAAAGTTTATCCATTTCGTTTTGGTTTTTTTTTGTGGATTTTAGTATGTTGATTGTTTAAAACCACAGGATTGGCATACACAAAAGTCCACCATTAATATTGACACAAACCCAGTGGGCTCAACGCTTTTTCTGTCAAAAACCCACTCATACAAAACTCATTCCTATATACCATAGTGCCAAATATCAATCCAAAATCTAAGATTATTCACATTTTTCTTGTGAGGCAAAAACTGTCTCAATGTCATTTTTGGAAAATATTCAATAATAGGTATTCGATAAATTCGATAAATTCATATTGGAGCTACTTAGGTACAAAATGGTTGAAACAACACAAAAACCCTACAAAAACCCAAAAACTATAACAATAGTTCGCAAAAACCCAAAAACCCAATAGAAATTTTCGAAAATCCGGGTTTTTGCCAACCCTGTTAAGCCAGGATAGGAATTTATATTCTATTATGCTAAATTTTTTACTTCTTGCCTAACAACCTCTTTGTACGTAAGATGTTAACTTATTTTGGAAGAAACTTTCTGGATGAAAATAGTTCTAGAAAGTTTATATTTTTACTTTGGTCTGCAAATTCATTGCGCATAGAATCTAACTTGCTTGCACCATCAAGAAACTCGTGCCAATAGATTAGCAGCTTGTAATATCTACTCTTATCGTGCGCATAGTTGCTTACGTCTTGTATTTTTCACGTAACAACTCCATTACGTATAAGAATTTAACTTGCGCTAGGAAACTGCCCAGGAATTTTTGATGTTCCATAAATAACCCAGTGGGTATATAGGTACCTACCTATCTAGTACTTTTTGGTACACAAAATCAAACAAGAGAAGTTGCGAACTTTGTTGCGACCTTCAAAAATATTTGCCACACACAGAGGAAGCAAATATCCTCTTGACATTAACCATAACGGTTTTTTTCACCCGAAAATGTATCAATTGTCGAGTACTAGATACGTCACCGGCACTTCCTTACCCATATGATGAATGACGATGTGTAGTGACACTCGCATCTGCCCAGTTGGAATTTTTGAAGAAATACGAACAAGGGGTCGGTCGCCGCCCTTAACAAAAGCAAAGCAACACGCCCCGGTGGTCGCAACAATTGAAAAATATTTACTTCCATTCTTCCGAACGTTTTTGGTCCGGTAATTCGCCGGTTTCCTATTGCAGCTCTAATTTTTCGTAAACCTTCTTTTGACCCGAAAAAGTGGGAATTTTATACGGTTTTGTGCTCCGGCGTTCGCCTTTTTAAGCCAATAATCCGCACCCAGATACCACCTAGACATTTTATGGGTAGTTTTATGGGTTATTTTATGCCTTTAAATACCGCTAGACTTTTCGGAAGGCTATTACCAAAATATTAGCCGAGATTAAGCTGTAAAGCGAAAGAGACAAATTTGCCACATGCTTTATGGAAAGTGAACCTGGGCGTTTTGTTTTACAAAATGGTTAATGACTTTAGACAGGAGATGACCCTAATTTGTAATACTCTTTTTTACAATTTTGAATGACGTCAAGAGTTTTCCAAGATTTATATTTAGCAATTTATTCTGCTTGTTGACTTTATATAGTAGATAAAAAAAAGTGTCTCAATTTGAGGTAGCGACTTTAACTTCAATTTGCCATGTAGCTGATCTTGTTCAAATCAATGAAAATTGAATTTTACTCCTACCAATTGACAGCCCAAACTTCAGGAATACTAGTATTGTCTGGCTAGCGAAACGGCGAACTGCAAAAGAATTCGCTGCTTTGCCAAACTTGACGGAAATTAGAAACAAAATAATAAACAAGTTGGTGACATATTTTTTTTTGCTATATGGGCATGTGTAATATTTTAAAATAGGAAAAAATCAGGCAACATTGCGAAATGATGGAAGTGGAGAGGCGTGATTATTCAGAAACAAGATTCTATTGGTTAGATCCTGAACGACAGCACGCAGTGGCGTGGTTATTGGCGAAACTAGAGAATCTTTTTTCTAATAATTTTATTGGTTTATTTCCTTGGTGTTTTCGGTGCCACTGAACTCAAAGACATGGCTGTCATCAGACGGTGTCAGTTGAGGTGTCAGTGAATATTTTTAGGTAACGCCCCAGTTTTCTTCCCCCTTTCGTCTCGACCAAGTTACCACTTGCCAGACTATAAAGCTATGACAAAAGTTTTGAATAAAAATAAATATACAACAATCCTAACACTTTTTTAACAGGACTTTTATTCACATTATTGTTCTACATGAAATTTGAAAATGGAAAAAATGTACAATAGGCAAACTGCTATTACTTAAAATATTCCTATTGTGACATCACTATTAGATGTGGACAAGGAAACATTTATCAAAGTATTAAATGTAAAGGGAGGAAAATCAAGTTGAACGAAGAGGCCAATAGAGCACAAAGTTTCCAAATAAATCTTTCCAGAATCACATTAAATCATTATAAGTTTGATCCAGGCTCGGATAGCAGAGAGAACTGACATAATATCTTGCCAACAAATATCTTTATATAGCTTCGCAGCTCAGTAAATAAGAGACAGAGGGCTCTTTTGAAATGGAAATCAGCGGCTGAGTATCTCCCCTCGACTTCCAAATCGAACGCATCCTAGATATAAGGGTAAAATATTGAGTCTAATGGACAATATAATTGTAAGATATTTCCTAAATGGGACTTGGCAGAGATGTGCGTTGGAAAATTATTACCTAAAAATTCTATTGTGCACCAGAAGTTATAGCTTTGTTCATCACTTACAATCACAATACAATAACATACGAAAATAAAGAAATCTTTCTGAGAGTTTAAACTGGATAGACCTTATCGCCTATCGGGAATATTTGCTCAGACTAACAAAAGCAAGAAGAAAGAAAAACTGGGAAATTTGAGGATCCAAAACGAAAATATACCTAAAGTAGGTACCAATATCATAGTTACCCATGGTAGTGATATTATTTTGATGTTGACATGTGACATATCCATCAATAACTTATACTTTTTTATTGCGTAAGCTTCCTCCATCCAGTAACCAAAATGAAAGACGAACCAGAAAACTGGAAAATCTACGCTCCATTCGAAGTGGTAATCCACAACACAGAATACGACTGCTGGGTATCATTTCTAGGCAAGGTTTTCAATATTACCCCGCTCCTGAGACAATACAAAGGACAAAAATGCATCAAACCTCTCTTGGCCATGGCTGGCAAGGATATAAGCCATTGGTTCGATGAAAAAACTGGCGACATTCAACATTACATTCATCCAGAAACTGGTGTAAATGTGCCTTATTGTCCTCACGGTAACTTGCCGGATTGTCCTGTTGGAGTTCCGGCTACCTCGTGGAAGGCTCTAGATAGACCTCCATGGTGGAAAGATGAAAACTATCAGGTAACAAAACTGATCAATTAATTCTCAATTAATTTTGTATGTAGGTAGGACTGTTGAGCAAAAGAATCAGACCAATAAGAATCATAAACATGCTAACATCATCAGAAGTGACAATCAATGTGTGTTGTGAAGACACCTTGTTGACAATTCTAGAAAGATATCGTTTGTTTAACAAGGATGCCGAATCCTATACTTGGAGATATTTGGATAATAATCTCGATATGTCCAAGACGCTGGAGGAAAACGGTATAGTGGACGAAAGAGACAAGTTTATTGAATTGGGATTGCCTCAGAACTTTTATTTACCCAGTATATTTCTTTATTATAATGACGATTTGAAATGGGCAAAAGATTTGGAGAATGATGATGATGATTGATGAAAAATATACAAAGTTTTATTCATACATGTTAAGATAGAAACTTCAATATTTCACTTATTTAAAACTCTTGCACTTCACAAGCTTTCAACTTCAACAATTGGTTTGTAAAATAAATAAGACTTCTTATGTACACCTCGCTGGACGAAAGTAAGCACACTTTTCAATTTAAATTGGATTAAAAATGAAAGCTCTTTCAACACCCTTCTTCTGCAGCATCCCCTAAAGTGTAGTATTCTTTAGAATTCACAGGCCTAAATTATTTCCGGCAAGTTAATAAAATTTCTTTGATATTTTTTTCGCTTAAAAAGGATACCAAAATTGCGTTAACAGAGTGAAAAAAAAACTGCGACTGCTGCAAAAGTTCCTAGTCACTTCCGCAATATTTCATAATAGAATTAAATAAAAGTCTAGAGAAGCAGCTTTTCAATTTAAAATTATTGCATTATAAGTGCCAACTGTGAAATGAAAGTCTACTTCACACCATCGCCCTCCCTTGGCTCAACCCCTCTCTATGTTCTATTGTCCATAGTTCGAACCCTAAATGATTCACTCCTTAATTTTCGCCATACATAGAGTAAACACATCCATAATTTATATTTGAGGCTTTATGAATTGGCGCATGTAATTTTAGTCCCATAAATGAGTGGGGTTTGATGAGAGGCAAAATCTATGAAGTCTTTTTAATTACATTAAAAACCGGAATGCTTGCACTATTCACACAGAATTATTAGATTTGATCAGCTGTTAATTGCCGCTGCCTTTCAAAGCTAATAAATTATGCGTTACATAATTTTGGAAATCTGCAAGCTTGTCCATTAAATTTGACATTCGTCGCAGGCAATTGATTTATGTAATGTCTGTGTTATTTATTCAAATAGTTTGAACGGTTATTTATTATAATTTTATTGCTTAGTTAAGTGGCAAATTTAGTGTGTCCACCGTTAAATTTTTCTGTTTTATCCATTTAATCGTCTCACTCCTTCCGAATAAAACGTCTTAACCGGATTACTTTGGTTCTCTGTTCCGTTTTTCCTTCTGGATTTCATTGAGTATATCCGAGTCGAGAAAACTGCATTACCTGCGCCCCAAAAAATAAATAAGATTTAATCTTGGATTTGCCGTTTTGTTTCATCTTAATTAACTTAGATCGGTTTGGTGTGATTGGCTTTTTCTTTTCACCCTATAACATACATACACGATACAAGCTTTGGAATTTTCTTTCGACGGTTTGAAATGACGTTAGCTTATAATTTTAGATTTTAAACATTTCCTCTGAGTTGCCAGTTGAGACACTGCAAATCATACAAGTATTTTTTTAAGGAAAGACAATGCAATAATACTATATTGCACGAAACAATAAATGTAAATATAGGTATCCATAAACACTTACGTAAAAACACAAGACGTAAGCAACTATGCGCACGATAAGCTAGAGTAGGTTTACAAGCTGCTAATCTATTGGCACGAGTTTCTTGATGATGCGAGCAAGTTAGATTCTATGCGCAATGAATTTGCAGCCCAAAGCAAAATATAAACTTTCTAGAACTATTTTTATCCAAAAAGTTTCTTCCAAAATAAGTTAACGTCTTACGTACGTCGTACAATGAGGTTGTTGGGCAAGAAGTAAAAAATTCAACATAAAAGAATATAAATTCCTATCCTGGCTTAACAGAGTTGACAATTTGAAAATTTCTATTGGGTTTTTGGGTTAGTTTGGGTTATTGTGATATGTTTTTGGATTTATGTAGGGCGCTTTGAAGACTATCGTCGACGTTCGTGCCTACATGGACTGAAGACCAATCATAATTTATCAATGGGTTGTATCACAATAAAAAAATACCCTTAGAATACGCAAATACCCTTTGACAAACACTGTCCAATACATTTGTTTTCTCAAAACATACTGTGAATTCCAAAGCCGGATGATAGAGTGATAGACATCCTCCTGTCCCTTCAAAAATATACACTCAGTATCACAGTTAAGTTAATACTTATGGGTCAATTCTGTGCACATCTGTAAGCAAATCTTGAAATTTCTATTATAGTACAGCGGATTAGCTAACCTATTGTGCACTTTTTGATAAAGGTACCAAATTTGGCACAGAGGTAGACCGATGTAATATGAACAAATTTGGATGGCGGCGATTTTCCAAAATGTCTGCCAGTGGACACCACGAAAGATAATAGAAGTTGGATAAAGTTTGCTGCCGAAGATTCTAGTGAATTTTTATTGAATATTTTGAATGAAAACATGCCAGATCAAAAAGTGCACAATATGTTGAAATATACTAGCTAAGCTGCCGCATTATTAGCCTATAGCTGCTTATAGACAATATGCAATTCTACACTTCCTGTAGACTACAGAATATCTTATAGGATTGTAAATATTTTCGATCAGATGTTTGGCAATCGATGCAACGGGTCAATTCTGTGCACAACTGTAAGCAATTCTATAAATTTCTATATGCAGAAATTAATTCGTTAAAAACTACATTTTTCCTCAAAGCCAGAAGAACTCTCCCACCTCTAACAGTAGAATCAGACTTTCTGTCTCTTTTTACAACATGGTAATCATCAAACAATTTGCAGTCGGATATACCATCGCACAACCATGTTTCGGTGATGGCCACGATATCATAATAGGATTCCGGCATAAAAGTCTTCTGTTTTAGTTCTAAGACCTCTAGTATTTTGGTAATACCTACAATCGCAGTTGCAGTTGAGTATCTAACATTGTTAGTATTTTTGTTTGTTTTTAAGAAGTTTATTAGAACCATCTCTCCTCTTTTATTTCGACCGTCCAAACCATATGCTGATAATGATAACAACAGTTCTAAATGCCAGGGTATATAAAGTCTTTATAGAAGCGTTCGATTTCTTCATCTTCAGGAGCTAATTGTGAGGGCATCATAAGCTATTGTACAATTTTCCTTTCACACTTAGTTGAGAAAAGTATAAAATCACATACATATTTGTATACGCGTTCGCGAATTCTATAGTCCTTTTTCTAGCTACGCAAACTTATTGTCTTGAGATAGTGCTCGAACAGGTCAGAGGCAAATACGAAGGAATAACTACTCTGCGGCTTTATAGAAAAGAAAAAGCACTTCGAACCACGAAGGAATGGTGTCAGACATTTGAGTTGAATCTAAACCCAGCGAAAACGACACTGGTAACATTTACAAAAAGAACGGAACTCTAAAACCTGGAGAATCAATCATTCGTCTCAATGGAAGCCGACCCAACTAGAAACAAGAAGTTAAGTTCCTAGGAATAACCCTAGATTAAATTCTAACCGTGCGTTCGGTAATTTAGTCTGAGCTCTCCGAGCTTGAATTTACCGTTCGTTTAATGAAAAAGTGTACTCGGTGCAGGCTCATTCGCGTTCGTTTATTGAAATTTCGAGCACTCGGATAAAGCGTTCAACTGCTCTGTTCGCTCGCTGGTCACGTGATTACTGCTCTACTCAGCACGCTCTGCTCTTTGAGCAAAATACCGAACGCAAGGTAAACTGCTCTGGAACCGACATGAACAGAACACAAAAAACAAAGCTGCACTCATGGTCTGCAGAAACATTGCAAGGAAAACGTGGGGTTGTAACCCATCAATCCTACGATGGATGTATTGTATGCTAGTGAGACCTATCATGACTTACGGAGCGGAAACCTGGTATAGCCGAACCCAGCTAGGAAAACCCTAGGAAAACTATAAAGACTCGCGTGTCTCTGTATAACAGGAGCAATGACTAATAAGATCATGCCCAACCGCGGTCTGGACGTCAACCTAGACCTCACACCACTCCACATAATAGTGAAGCAGGTTGCCAGTGGATCATGTCTCAGACTGGCGAAGATAGGTTCCCAAGGGAAAACGCACTTTGGCAGAACTTTTCCTCTCCCAAACTATGCACACCTCATGGATCTACCAAAAGACGATGATTGTTGATAAATTCAGTTTCTAGAAAAACTTTTCCATTGAACTAAGTACAAAAAACAGATGAAACATAAAATCTATGCAATCCTTTAAAGCAAGCACCATCAAATGGTAAACAGACGGTTCCAAAACTGCTGAGGGAACTGGATCCGGAGCATTCGGCCACAGAGCAACTGTGCTCCGAAGCGCAGTAGAGAATGGATTAGCAAATACGCGTATTTTAGATTGCCAATATTTACTGCGATTCAGCATATGGTCCAAACTATAATGTTCTGAATCGCAGTAAATGTTGGCAATGGTATAAACGCGTGGTTGCTTGTCAGATGACAAGATAAGGTATTGCCGCAAGGCTAGCTAGCTAGATAGTTAATTTAGGGATTTCGATCTCGAGAGAGGAATTATTTTAAACTATTTGATAGACAAGTGCTTTCAAAATTTTTTTGCTATTTATCGTTGGTAGTTCTCTCGTTCATATAATTTTCTGTTCCAATGGATTCAATGGATTATGAACATATTATTTTAACTGATACCTATCTGTAGTTCTTCTAGTTCAAAACTACACTACAGCAGTTTCAAATTGTAATTCAACTGAAAACGGTTTTGATGGTTATGTAAGGGTTTTAAGAAGAAACCATCAGATCTCCATGAAGAGAATAGTGCTTGGTGTGATAGGTGGATTGCCGAGTTTAGTATCAAGACTTGCAGTAATTGGATTATGCGTTACACTTATCCCTCTGCAAAAAGATATATTTATCGGAAAGTTTTTAAAATTCATTGACAAGGTTAAATATAGGAAACGAAAGGACTTCAAAATGCGAGATAAAGAGTGCAATGCCAGCATTGATATTTTTTTAAAGAAAATTTACAAGAATACGATCAAGAACGACGAACTGTTGAAAAGTGGATTTAATGTTTGTATCAAAGTAAGTAAATATACTGTGTGACATAAAAATTGCAATACCCAGTAAATGTGAATATATTTTATCAATATTTTGAGAAGTAGTTAGGATAAATATGAATTACAATCGATAACATTTTCAAACAAATTTATCGAAAGGAATTCTCAACAATTCAATAGTCAGTTGCGCTTCCACGTGGGTTTCGACATTCTGCAACTCTTCGTTGCAAGCTACGAATCAGATGATCGATATCTGCCTGTGGTAGGTTCTCCTAGG